TTATGATTTTGGATTTGTCTAAATTTTTGCTTGGATAATCTATGAATGATGAGTTAAAATAAAAATAGCTCACTTCACTGAAAAAGTTAAAGAGTGGGTCTCATAAGTGTCCCTCAAATAAGATTATTTGATAGATCCCTCAATGAAGATGATTCATAGAAGGATGACGAGCTTCTTAGCCGGGATTCCTTTTGATTGTAGCAAAAATATGATAGGTAAATGACTATCACAAGGATCATGTATTCACAATATAGCAGCTCGACCGTATATATTTCACTCTTTTTCTATTATTTGCTTTAGAATACAAGGGTCCTATACCGTAATTACATGAATCTACGAGGACCCTATCGTCTATTTCTTGCTACAATAGAACGGTAAGCATACACACTCACATTACACACAGGGGTTGAAGTCACAAAATGAAGCTCTTTCATATGGCTGGTACAAAATAAGTGAGCTAGGTGAGGGGTGAGGTTGACTCTAAGCCCCCAAGGGTCAAAAACAATGATATTGAAAGCCTGTTGTCATACATGTTAAGATAAAGGAAATGCTCAGTGGGAATATTATGAAGAAAAAGACTCACATGGTGTTTCTGTACTGTACTTGGTGATATCTAAATATCTCAAACCAAATGCATGATTATATTCGATCTGGCTCTCTGGCAGGACAAACTATATAGTAAATATACAGGAAGCGTCCCTTCATTCCTTCGATTGGTTATGCACTGAGTTGGAGTTCAACTTCAATCATAATAGCTAGACACAATATACATCTGGATTCTGGGGACCCTAAAGCTTCCCCACCACTTGCAGACAGAGAGAGAGAAAGATAATGAGTTGAGTAGTGAGCCACTACTACGCCAACATGCGTTGGACTCTTTCCATCATCTCCTCCATCTCCTGGAGATGTTTGAGAAGGTCAATGGTTTAGGGTTATCACTCTCCATCCTCATGGGCCCTCACAATTATCATATGAAAGTTCTTAACCTAAATGGTTCCACTATTTGTCTGACATATTTTGCAACTTGTATCAGACGCATTACCAGGTAATTAGATTAAGGTTGTTGGCCAGCATTTACTAATTGACATTAACAGGTAATCAGATTAAGGTTTGTCGAAAGAGATTAACATGGGGGTTGCGATCAGTTGAGATTGTGGTCGTTCTAGTGTCCTGTCCTGAACGGTAGGTTGTTGGATTTGTACGTGCATGAGTAAAAGACAGTCCTGAATGGTAGCATATAATATAAGATTTGGGTCTCTACCGACTAAAAGAACAGATCGTACGCAAACTTTTGAATTCTGATCACATATTGGTATTGGATATATTGAGAATCATCAGATAATTAAACCCCTGCATAATGCTATATAAAAATGTTGGATATTTAAAGCTAATGAGTGATAGCCGAGAAGGATAAAAGATTATTTCAAGGCACATAACGTTGTCTTTTAGATTTAATTCATCCTCACAATTTATGTGCAAAAGAGAGTTGCGAATTAGACGTTTGGATGAAGACTACGTTAAGTTGTAAAAGTTATTCACTCCTAATACAAACTTCAATACTCAAAGAATAAAAGAACACTCAAGTATAAACTAAGAACAAAAGTTGCAGAATTTTGTTCTTGGCGCTTTGGTTTTAATCCAATGACGTGGATTGCGGAGGGAATAGAAAGTTTATTTGTATTAGGTGATTTTGTAGGAAAGTAAGCCAATCGAATTTCAAAATTTGTCCACTATTTACAGAGGTTTAATTAAGTTTTCATTTCTAAAATGGTTTGACAACCATTCAAAAATTTCTAAAAGAAAATTTTATGTGGAATATGTCTCTTCCATTGAATTCAATATCTAGCTTTTAGAACATGGTTGTGAAGCGTTTTTTATACTATATATGGAGTATCAAACTACATATATTTGAATTAAAGTAGCACTGACCAGTCGCTCGACATGCTCCAATCCATCGATTAGTAGAAAGGATGTTATCTAACGAGTAATACTTGGTAGATCAACTTCTTAGATCAAATGCAAACCATGTGATATGTCACTAATAGAAAATAAGCATGTTAATCCACACTTAAGTAGTAATTCAATCATCAACAACCACATTATACGGTTTACAAAATTTAGACTAAATAGTTAGTCTTCCTAACATTGCTCTTTTCTAACTATTGGATGAGCCCTTGTTATGGACTATAGCAAGTGTAGTGTCAATTTTCTAGTACTATTGTTATAGTGTAAGGCCATTTCTTTTTATACAACGATATTCTACTTTAAGAGATAAGAAATTTGAGTTAAATTACATAATGAGCTAATTATAAATAGATATTAAACTTAACATAATGTTATTACTCATGTGAACGAAACTTGAGATTTTCCATTAGAAAAACAGAAGAACGCCACTATTGTTCTAGTTGGATTCCAAAATTATTCTTAGAACATATTAGTGAACTCTTTTATTCAATTGAGAGGGAAATCATGAACAAAAGCTCATTTACTTCCTTTAACAGTATAAAATATTGTTTTCTCTACTTATTTGACATTTTTCATCAAACTAATGTGCATTGAGACCAAGGTGGTCCCATGACCACTCGGAGTGGGAAATATACATCTAAAGGTTTTTTGATGACTCCCTGAATGTTGTGTATGGGTCCTTTTGTGCCCACTAAGTGTTTCATGCAATACCTCCTAGGCATATTTCAATAGGTTCCGTTGATAACATTTGACAAATTCTCTCTATATCACTCAACATATTGCTTTGGCATGTCTGCAACATGAATCTCATTGGGTTCTCTAATACAACACATAAACGCTCTAATTTTCATGATTATTTTATGATCCTATTCTTTATTTTTACTTTTTTTAACTTTTTATTACGACTCATTTTCTTCAAAGTAGGATTGACTATGGATTCGAGCCATAGCACATGATTTCAAAAAACCATACAATTTTCCCGATCTAAATAAACTAGTTAGTGCTTACATAATCTTCTTTTGTCCAAAGAAATAATTTATCGAAATAATAAGTCACCATTGATATTGACACATATGAGATCGCTAAATGTTCAGATCTGGTATGATACTTATGAAATCGATGATATCGATGAGATTATTCAAATATTTCTTCTTAGAACGTATTGATTTGACTCCATAAGCGAGACCATTACCCCATAGCATGTTGCCACCAGAATACCGTAAAATCGATTTTCGATAGAATGAAAAGACATATATAGTAGAATCGTAACTATAGAATACGACCCTAAACAAAATGCATACATTTGTCTCATACACTATGAGGATGGTGAGAAAATATATTCAGTTGACGATAGCAAACCCATCAAATATTCGAAGAAATGTCTTAATGAATAAATTTATTTATTTATTTTTCATGTTTTGCACTCTATTTTGATCTAAAATACCTTGACCTTGACCGTTTGGACCTTCAAATTTCGAATTCTCAATCTGCCTAAATTTTTACTCTTGAAAATGCTATTAGATTAGATGGCCTAGTTGAGTCTTTTTGCACTGAAATCAATGTGTTCGTGTAATCAGTGGATCAAAAACAATCGATTTGATGGGTTATTTTTTCGTATTTGGTTTGGTGACTCAAAATTTGTCATATTAGGGCAGGCATTGGGATGTCTGAGTTGACATCTGAGAAAACTGCAATGGTGGTTTTAATCGTATCAAGCAGTATTGTAGTGGCATTGGGATTCCTGACCCATTATCCAGGTGATGGTGATGGTCTGCAAAATTCATGTAACTGAGGTTGAGGTTGCTGAAAAAATCAGATCTGATGATGGATGACCTAGAATTATTGTCTTGCCCCAGCTCTCTCGAGTGTGACACATGCTTGTTCGGGTCATTGGCGAAAAGGAATGACTTCTGTTTATTTATTTATTTATTTATTCCGAGTAAATCATGAGCCATTTGTGCAGATTACTTGTTGAAGAAAACAAGAATTTTATTTTTGAAAAACTAATTAAATATGATTCATGTACTTGATGACTAAGAATTTTTGTTTTGCCCAACCATGCCATATTCTGCAGGCCGAAAACTGTAAGTTGGTGGAAAATATTGATAATCAAACCCTCTCTTCCCTACCATAGATCAGTTTGTCTTCCTAAAATCTTGACGATACTATGTTTAGCTAACTCATAACTTTAGTACTTGATAAAACTATATCGTTTAGTACTTGATAAAACTATATTGTGAGTATTTTTACCCATGTTATCTAAGTATAGAAAATACTTGAGTGTGTATATCGGATATATGATTAATTACATGACAAGTGCCATATGAATAAGGGAGTGTTTCCTTGCATAGGCTCTCTAAAGAGTTCGAGCTCATACCCCCAAGGAAACATGTCATGTAATCAAATGATCAAAATAAATTAAGGAGTCCATGTACCTAATTGCAAAACAACCAAACCAAATGATATGTTGATTGCCAATAAAACAAGAAACAATTCAATTCTTGCTGTCGCCATAACTTCTAAGTCATCATGCATTTTTTTTAGTGTAAATACTATATATGGGTCGATACATAAACTCGGATATACAATATTTTAAAACACTATCATTTCAAATTAACACGTTACACAAGTGGAACTCAGTCTTAGACCTATCAATTTCTTGCATAATCCATTAATCCGACACAAAATGGCACCAAAATAATTGCTTCAGGTCAACTTGTTAACGAGTCAATTCGTTATTGAGGCCATCCGTTAACGAGTTGGGTCTTTATCGGATCACTTATTAAGAACCTGATAAGATATAGTTTGCCAGGTCTAGACATTAAGCATGACAATTTCTGACATGACCCATTAACCTGACACGACATGACACGACTCGTTAACGAATTAAGTTGTTATCAGCTCACTTGTTAAAAACCCGTTAACATATCGGACCCGGTTTGACACAACATAACATATTAAGATAACGAGTATGATACAAAAACGACACAAACATGACGTACACAACACGTTTGTTAGGTCCTACTCAATCTCAATAAGGAAAATTTTTGTAAACTTGTCATTACTATTCAAATTCTAGAAGTAGAGTGTTTACAACATCCAAAAGAAGAGCTTAACTAGCTAGCTACATGGGATTAATCAGAAAATGAAACAACTAGCTGTAACAAAAAGGTTAAACTAGAAATTTAGGAGAGTATAGTGTTCGATGTCATTGGAGAGAGCTCTCTCTCTCTCCAGTACCAAATGAAAGACACCGGGCTTTGCTGTCACCCATTCATCTGTTCAACTCGCACCCACTGAACTCACTTCCCCACCCATACACCCACCCGGTTTCCATCTCGACCACCATATCCGATACCCTCCTTCCATTCCATTGTTATTTATCAAAAATCTTCGGGCAGAATCTCAACAGTGCTGGCAAATACTAAATTAACATATCAGGTTCCTCCAACCAAATTTCCCATTTTCCACGGAAGGAGAAACAACGATGACTTCACTCCCCAGCTACTTTTTCTAAGCATACCCCACCAGCTTCTCTCTCCACCCCCGTTACCTGCAGCACCGTCCTTTTGGTTCCCCCTCACCTCTTCTTCCTGCATTGTCCCAGACTTGACCTGAAAATCTGGGATTTTTTCTGATACTATATTCCATGTGTACCCTCTTTTTTCTTTCTTTCTTCTTGTGGGCACTGAATATTAATATAGGGGATCCCAAGTGGTGTGTTTTAAAAATAAAAATAAAAATATTTGAAGTCAATCAATCAAAGAGGACGTCACATCGGCAGATCTTTATCCTCGGCGATTTGATCTCATGGGGTTGACATCTCCAGAGAAACCAGTGAATTCCTGTTACACAAACACACACAAATCAATCAATTGCATTTGTGAAAGATAAATGGTACAAGGAGACGTTTTATAAACTAAACTTGTATAAAAACATGAGGTGTTAGATAATTTTATATTTTAGAGTTTATTAAGCAATTTTCTTTGTGAAAATCAGTGCTCTCCCTTTTTTTCTTTTCGATCAACGAAAGTGGGACTTCAATCACTTAATAGGCCAACAATAATTTGAAAATAAACACATTATTTATGAAAGTTGTATACTAAATGCATTTATAAATGGGAGTATTTTTGTTCACCACCATTTAGTGTGGTGTATGTTCACCACCTTATTTATAACCACTACATAAGTTTGAATTTTCAGATTCGTATAGTGAATAAGCACAAATCCCTAAACCCTTGTGCTAATGGCAAACTCGTTGCTTTCTTTAATTTCATTTTTTCATTTCTAGGGTTTTGAAAATCACCTATATCCCATGCATTAATTAACACAAGTTTTTTGAAGAAATTTTTCAATGTATTTGAAATATAGAGTGGTACGTCGACATATGATATATGTGCTAGTATTCTGAGTACATTGAAAAATTTATCCTTCTTCGATCCTAGAAGAAGCCTACTGCTGCCTACTATAACTTCAACATCAAAACCATCAATTAATATTTGGGCGGCTTAGAATTAAATAATTGCCACTAAAGATCTGTGCAATCTGTAATCTGAAGTGTTTGGTACAAGTTATGATATCTCACACTACTTTTTTTTTCAACCAAAAAAAAAAAAATATCACACTATTAATTTAAGGCGATGCTATTCACACAGTATTTTTTTATTTTTTTATTTTTATCTTTACACACTCTTTAGTAACTCTGACCGTATGATCTTTTTTAATTCATTCAATCCAACAATCAAAAATTGAAAGGGATGTGTAGAAGTAAAAAAGAGTGTGGGAACCACCATCCTTAACTTAGACTACTAATTATGTAACATGGCAACAGTAGGAAAAGATTTTCCAAATATTGCAAAAATAATTGAATGCTCAACCCTAAGGTAAATGAATCATAAGAAACAAAGAACTAAAAAACCAAACCCTAGAGAAATAAGAGAAACTTAAAATAATTGAATGCTCAACCCTAAGGAAAATGAATCATAAGAAAAAAGAACTAAAAAACCAAACCTTAGAGAATAAGAGAAACTTTTTAGAGCCGTCCTATTACAGTAGCTCTTAGTAAAGAGTCTAATTATCTGATATGTTTACCATACACTTAATTATCTGAACCGTCCTAACTATTAAAGACCAACATAGGAAGCATTATTGTTGACCATCATAACTATCGTATATGTTTACCATATACACCTAATTATCTAATTCGTATCATTTTATCTAACTCTAGTTAACTTTCACATTAAATGTTACTTTTTCAATTTTGAAAAAAAATTAATCAAAGTTAAGTGAAAAGACACGTGACAGATGTTTAGGTGTAGAGTGATCATAGACCATAGTTTATGGTGGTGAGCAAGAATGCTCCCAAACAACATGAAGTCAAGTAAGAGCAAAATACAGGAGCACCTATGTTTTGTGAAAGAAACGGTAGAGAGAGGTAAGAGGTAACGTAATCGAAGCATTCTTACCTATGTTTTCTTTAGGAAAATTACTAAAAATCAAAGATCATATAACAGCTGACAAATAGTCCACATGAGACCGCCCTTAAAAGGAGTCGGTGCCTAGAAATATACCACATGGCATAACAGCTATTTTGTGTATGTAGCTTAACATAGATATAGGAAAAAAGGAAGCTCCATGAAAGCTATGAACACACCAGTCCAGTCCACAAAAGCTGCCCTCGTGCTCTGCAATGGTGGTGTTTTTTTTTTTTTTAATCAAAAATTCAGAAGAAAATCAACTCAAAGGCAAAAACTGACCTTAATTAATTTGGTAAAAAGATGGGTTGGGTCCAACCTTTGTTTTGGCTCAACTGTAGGCTGAAAAGTTGTCATTTTTGCAAAAAAATGTCCAAACGTGTTCGACTTCCTACCCACATAGATATCACATGGCATAACATAGGATTCTGGATCGTTAATTGATATGATACTCATTATAACAATCAGATTGATATTCGTATTAGAGATTCACTATCATACTGATTAAGTTAATCGATCGTTTTGTTGGGGAGAAAGGAGACCATATAATTTACTCATTTGCTCTTAAATAATCTGTCTCGTGACTCGTGAGAGGAAACAAAATGGGGGTTTTAAATATAATAATACACATAATTATAATATGATTATTACGGTAATGATACTTTAGGGGGTTTACGTACCCTGCGTTGGTCGGCATAATTATAAGCAGCACGAGGGTACATTTGCTGCTGGCCGTGAGTCGGACCCTGGCTCGACATAGACAGTGTTGACGACGAGCCATCTGAGGTCGATGGTTCCGACTCTTGGTGCTCAGCTGCCTGCTGCTGGTACTCCAAGTTCACTCCAAATAGTCTCAGTATCTTCGAGTTCCCAACTGACGCTGTTTGGTTCATATTTTGGACACGGGACCCTGCAACAATAATACAATTATTACAAAACATGCATGAAATTAAATACATACCCCCAATTTCTCACCCTAATTATACAAAAGACCAATGTACTTGGTTATTTGTTTCGGTCACATGTCTCTAGTGTATCATGGTCAACTGATACAACTAAATTCAATTTATTCCTGAACCCGAGATCCTAAGTTCGATTTATTTTTCCTCAATAAAAAACTATCACACATAAACACAATTCAATTAGAATCTAAACCCTCAAGCACATTTTCCCCAAGTAATAGGAATGTGTTTTTCACGCACTTTCACGTGCGTATAAGCAAGAATTAAAAACGTTTATATTTATGTTTTTACAAAGTAATTAAAAATTAAATTAAAAGAATATAAATTACCTGCTGCATGTAGACAGTCAGGTGGGTATGGCGCCACACTATGATGATACTGGTGCGCAGGATAAGACGAGCCGTGATGCGGCGCAGAATAGAACATCCTGGTCCAACCCCCGCCACCACCACTACTATTCCCTCCAACCCCGCCACTGCTACTCTCAACCCCTCCAGCCCCACTATCGTGCGCTGGGACCGCGTTGCGGCGTCTCCAGCCGATGGAGAGTCGATCCGTGTTGGCCCGGCGCCGCTCGAACAAAACGACGTCGCCGGCGTTGAGGCGCTTTTCCTTGACGTAACGGCTCCAGCCCTTGGTGAGGACGTAGCTCTGGCTGCTGTTCCAGTAGGAGTAGCGGAACCGCCACGACTTCCCGGACTCGTCCTCGAAACTCAGCAGGAGGCCCGAGTCGCCGCTGCCGAGCGGGAAGTACTTCTCTGCGTGCTGCTTGGGAATCACAAGGCGGTTCAGCTTGCCGACGTCGCTCGGGGTCAAGGGCTTCTCGAACATGGGCTCTTTTTCGTCGTCGGAGTCGTCAGAGTTGACGCGGTGATGCGGCGGCGGGGACTGGAGTTGGTCTGATTCGTTGGGGTCGACGGCGTCGTGGTGGTTGAGGTTGAAATTGAGGGTGGCGGTGGGGGTATGGAAATGGGTGGGGGACATGGGTGTGGTGGGGTCTTGGGAGTTGAGCTGCCAGGGTTGGAAACTGTGGTGGGCGTGGCTGGGGTGGTGGGTGTCTTGATAAAATTGGGGAATGAAATGGGTTCTGCTGTGTGGGTGTCTTGAGGGGTCTTCTTGTCGGTGGGGGTTAGAATTAGCATTCCACCGCTGGGTTTCTGAGAGGTTTGAGGAGAAGTGGTTTATGGACATTTTCTTGGAGAAGGAGAGATAGAGATGGGGATGGAGATGGAGAAATTGAGTGTGGGGCTGAGAGGGAAGGGGAGGGAATAGGCGTGCAGATTACGGGTTTGAGGAGAAGTATTTGATGAAGCTAGCTACCCCCAAGATATTGACAACAATGTTAGAGAGAGAAATAAGAGAGAGAGAGAGAGAGAGAGAGAGAGAAATGTAAGTACAAGAGTACTACTTTAAGGTTTTGCGTGAGGGAAAAACTCAATCATTATTTTCAGTGTAAAATTCCCATATTCTACTACTACTACTCCTACTGCTTTCTGTGTGTTTTTTGTTGGGATTTTGAGTGAGGAGGATTTTTAAATTGAATACTGTTAAAAAACACAAAATTACGGTATTGTTGATAGTGTCTAATACACATGATTTCACGTGGATTTATATTCATGTATGATTTAAGTTATTCTTTAAGAAACATTAATTTAATACGGATGGATTTGTGGCATCATTTTTTTTACACAAATTTTTGTGGGGCTCATTTTATGATGTATTTCAACGATTTAAATCGTTTCACATGGATTTATATTCATGTATCATTTAAGTTATTCTTTAAGAAACATTTAATATGGACAGATCCGCGGCATCATTTTTTTTTACACAAGTTTTTGTGGGGCTCACCTTACGATGTATTTTAGCGATTTAAATCGTTTACCTTTTATATGACTTTAAAAAATCATGTTTATCGAAAACACCCAAATCTGAAACCATATGAACGTTGGGTTAAGGGTTTAGGTTTTTTTTTTTTTGTTTTTTTTTCTTTTGTTGAACTGTATCCGTCCATTTTCTTCACTACAAATGAATGCCTTGATGATTTTGGATTTGTCTAATTTTTTGCAAAGATTATCTATTAATGATGTTCTAAAAGATAAACGGTTCAGATCATTAAAACATATGACAAAGTAGGCATCACAAAAAATAAATTGTGTAAAAAAAGTGATGCGGCGGATCTACCCCTTCTTTAATGTATGTGAATTTCACATATAATATTGAAGTCTATGACTATTACAGAGTATGATAGTAATGTGGTCGGTTTTGTGTGTGATGGATAACATTGTTGTGTAAAAGTAAATTATAATGAAGAAGACTATAGTTTTTTTTCTGAATTGGGCAGAGCATGTATCTGGATGAATCTCTTTGTGGCAAATGTGGATTACTATTTGTTTGGAAACACCCCATGTTATTGCTACATTCCCAAACAAATCAAATTGTAGGACACCTCTGACGTAATAATTAGCCACCTGGCTCTTCATCAATTCCATCCAACGGCCAACCCGGCCTAGCACTTGGTTCTCTAGACCATATCTATGGGGCACTTGAGATATTCACCCCCCCCCCCCCCACCCCACCCCACCCATATGTATCAGGACACTAGATAGTTAACGAAAAAAAAATGCTATTTTTATCATGTATCATCTTTTTAATAGAGGGTGCGGGACCCACATGTCTTGATGAACCTTACTTTTGTAGAGAGATGATACAAATAGATGATAAGTTTAATAGTACTCGTAAACCAATGAACTCAAATGAACAAACAAGTTTGTCTGTCCTATCTCCAAATTACTTATGCAAGAAGTTTGATTCATAATGATTATGGCAGTTCTCAACCGTTCATGCATATGCATAACACACAAGTATTAATTACGATTAACAATCGTTTATACACACAAGACAATTGTCATTACAATTGGTTGGATATTGGGCAACATCAATGCTATATAATGGTAGTATTATAAATTTTTCCAGTGCTAGCTCGTGCATTGACATTTGGATAGAACATATATGAGAGAAATTTGTTTTCTAAGTGCGTAGTGAATTATTCCAATTTCGAAGGCTTATTTAACTCGTAATAGTCCCTAATAGATGTTGGCTGTTGACGTAGTGTGTAATTCGCATTTATCAGCTGTTGACAATCATCGATAAATTAAACAAATGAAAACCGAGATTGAAAATAGTAGGCATTGGGCAAGAAGGATGTATAATCTATCGATCTTCCATGGTAAATTTGCTTTTCAATATTTGTGAGAGAAGGAGGCCGGGGGAAATGAAATGTAGCTGTAAAGAAGAACAGTAATTTGATCACGTGCAGCATAGCATTATTGGTGTTTGGCCATTCCGGCCTGGATTTAAGAGGGGATTGGAGGAGGTGGGATAAATAAATCCACAGATCCCTTCCCTTTCCAATAAGCATGCGGGGGAGAGAGAGAGAGAGAGAGAGAGAGAGAGAGATGGATGGGATGGGATAAGATTTGTTGCAATACAATACAAACACAAATACAAATAGCCTTTGTTTTTGGGACAGGTATAGTCGTGTTTGAATCCTTTCCTCACATTTCTAGTCCCGTCTCTTTCTTTCTCTAACAAAACACTAACTGGGGTCTCAGTCTTCTGTCTCTCTGGGTGTCTTGTTATTTTCTTTTAGTTAATAATATCTTCTTATATATTATCTTTAATTTCTAGTTGGGATTTTATGTCTTCTTCCTCCCCATGAATTTCAGACAAATCCCACCTCAATTTTCCAGGTAGATTCACAACACCCAATTTCATTTCATCCCCCAACAAAAAGGTCCGATTGGATTGGATTATTGTTACCACTTGGTTTTAATTTTATAGTTTTAAGTAGTAAGTAGAACATGCATGAAACACATTAATCATAGGTGGTGGTTGTTGTTGTTGTTGGATTTGTGTGTGTTTGTGTCCTTTACCTTACTACTCATTCCTATCATGATATGTACCATGCAATTCATCTCTCAATCATATGTTGATGGGACAAGTCATGGATTTTAATAATTCATCGTTAAAAGCTAATACAAAATTATTGTACGATACTGAAACATATTATATATAATTTTTTTCTTTAAAAAGAAGACTAGTTGGTAGCTTTTTCATGGCAATCCACTATTATGGGGGCCGAGAAGATTCCCAGAGGTTTCTCAGCCTCCTCTGGTTGTCATCGTCTACCTTCATCCATGCCAAGTATCGAATCCCAGACATGTCATGTGAAATACAAGTCTGAAATTCATCTCCAACCGCTGGATCACCCTATGATGAAATAGTGTTCGTTGATCAACTTTGATACAAATTCAGGCTTTGTTGCTATTGCAAATAGTTATTTAAGTTAACAAATTAGTCATGGAATTTTAATAATTCATGGTTTTTTTTTTTTTTTGAACAAACAATATTATTTACACTAAAGGTGAGGGGTGGGCTTAGCCTCACAATGTGCTAGCAATAAGGTGGTTCAAATTCGTCTTTGGTGAGAATCGAACCTAAGACCTCTCACTTACAAGTAAAGAGGAATACCACTAGACCGTAATACCAGGTGGTAGTAATTAAATGGACTAAAACACCACCTATAATTAACTAGCGTTAGTGTGTTCAAATTTCAAATTTTCTTCATCTCATTAATGGATTATGCATCTAAATTATGAGACAATCGAAAATTTAATTATTGATATTGCGCATAGTTAATTAAGTTGGAAACTAGTTATGTTATAACACTAATTTTTTTTTTTTTCCAAAATGTTATAACACTAATTGAGCGTTCATATTTGTGCAAAGAGTGAAAAACATAAAAACTTCAAAAAAAGGAGTCCACACAAAAATGATCAAGATAGAATTACAGATTTCAAGACAAGTTCAAGTCATCGCACAACTTGAGGCTGATTCGAGTAATGTCTTGTCTAGGTTGAAGTTAGGAGGCTGATAAGTTTTCAAGATCAATCAACTGTCTTGTTTTTCACGGCGCGTAAACGAGTTAGCAAGGAAAGACAAGATTATCAATATGCCTTAATCTGACTCAATTAAAAACATGCCATCAACACGTCTCATCTGTCACAACGGCGGTGTATATAATTGATTGGTTACGCAATATCAGTCAAACGAAAGAAGGCCAATAACTGCCTAACAAAGGAAAACTCAATACTTTTTTCTTTTTGACGAAGAGTACGATATTTATTTTCTGAAAATTCTAAATAAAAGACATGTATTTTGGATCAACACTATTAAGAAGGATTGTATATCTTCAACTAAAATGAAAGAACTCGATGAACAAGTGCTTTAATGCCTATAAATACCTATTGTGGACCTAATGTTTCACACACTATTTTCATAAATTTGTTTCTACATTCCTTACTCTATTTTCTCTCTATCACATTCATACAATTTATTTCTATTTATTTCTAAGGGAATACAATTCGGTTTTGCTAATCGAATATTTTATACTTTGTTGTATCCTGGAAGTGACTTGCCAAGAGCCCTTTAGCAAACTCATTCGAGTGGGGACAAATAACACTTTAAGGAAACGATTCAAGTCGTACCTCAAAGTCATCATTCGGATTTTCTCTATATTTCTACATTTTACTCTAAGAAAACCTAATTAAAGACCCCACAATGGTAGAGTAAGGATCCAAGTTGGTAAGTGTTGAGTTCTAGAAAACAAGAAATGAAAGCCGCATACAACAACACTCTAAAACCAAGTATGTATTGTATAGTGAACATTAAAATGAAAAAACTAAATTTGCTTAAACTAATTTGGTACAAATCTTAAATTGTAAGAAGAACATTTTTTTTTTTTTGCCACTTAGTACTTCAGTCTAGTGGTATTCCTCTTCACTTATAAGTGAGAGGTCTTAAGTTCGATTCTCACTAAAGGTGAATTTGAATCAAATTATTGCTAATTCACTATGAAGCTAAGGCCATTTCTATTTTTTTTAACAGTAGATAATATTATTTGTTTAAAAAAAATTGTTTAACTTCATAATAAATTAATAATAATATAATTTAAATTTACTTTAACGAAAACTAACCTAAGAATAAAAAATGGTCAAGTGAGAGAGGCACTTACGTAAAGGTCGAAACTAACGGGAAATCTTTTTCATAAATTGAGTGTCCCTCAAAGATGTCGTTTGGCCAGGTGTGGGAATCCTTGACCATAAAGAAAGCTATCAGTGGGTGAGGCAGCTCTGCCATGTAATCTCTGTATAATTCGCCTGCAAATATATTTATTTTATTTCAATAAAAAATAGTTTATCTTGTTAAAAGAGACCAGGAAACAAGAGGGGCCTTTGGGATATAGGAGGAAGTTAATGAGAT